CAACATCCAGCCAGGCTCCGCTATCCTACCAAATAGCTTATCATCGTTTGCCAGTCTTCTCAGTTCCTGTTCTTCCACCCAATTCAGCACTGAACAGTCCACCACTGAGACCAGGTTAACATTTAGCAATGAATTCGTATCTGCCTTTATTTGTACATCAGGGAACCCATGCGACATCACCTGTCCATATACTACCGTGACGAGCTCTCTCAATCTAAAAACTAAAGCCAGTGGATCGATCAGCATCATCACCGCCAGATCCGTTAGCAAGAGCATACCGCAGTACTTCTTGCACTCACTCGCTCATGCTAATGTCTCATCTTTTCCAGTCAGGCTCCTGTTCTGTTGCGGGAGGTATTGCATCAAAAGTGTTCTCCAGACGTTCATATTTCGATATAAGGCAGTTGTAGCGCAAGAGTACAAACATGTCACCTAATCGACCATAGGTCATCGCGATTAAGGTGAGAAGCCCGTCCAGCCTGAGGTCTGCCTGAACGTCTGAGTGAAGAGGTTGACCGGTCCCTTCACAAAGTTTTCGTGGCTAAATGTCACATAAATCGCCAATATGAGGCCGATCGACAGTTTCCTGCGGTCTTTTACGAAGCTCCCAAGCAGGTTCTTCGAGGCTCTCTGATAGCACACGAACAGGAAGGATGGCGCCTATCCCACTCCCATTCCTCCCAGAATTGCGTCGGAACTCTCATACTTCACTCTCGTCGCCAAAAAATCCGCGTGGAACTTATCCGGCGACAGGGTGTTCACATCCTGCATCAACTGAAACATCATGCCTCCAGCCTGCTCCCTCTCGTTCATTAAGTTTTCCAGATACGCGTGGATCTCTTCTATCACTGCTGGGGCATGTTCAAAGGCGTCGTCTCCCAGCGTGCACACTCTCGGTGACACAGACAGCAATGCATTAGTGGGCGGTTTTGTCCTCAAAGCCAGTGCCATGAGGGCTTTCCTCCGACGATGTCAAATTCCGTCTGACCATGTTCTCTTACGCGTTCCTCTCATAGTTCTTTTGCCTGAACCAGAGGTCATCCGCCATCTGCTGAACCAGCACATGGTCATCATTCACTCGTGGTCTCAACTTTAGCAACATGGCGAAGTTGTACAGTTCCAACCCCAGGACATCAGTTGTGCTGTGCTCTTTGAAGTCTTTGAATCCCTGTATGGCGTTTGAGATGACCAACCAGACGGCAGGGAGCTCTGAGCGAAGAGGGTAATAGGTATTCGGATCCATAGACCTGTTAGACAAGGGAATCACCACGTCAAAGCGTCCCTCTGCCAGCGTGGTTACTATCGTATACCTAAATTGTAGAGGTTACGGCAGTGCGGTATATCTCGGTGACAAAAACAAATAGATGACTTTCACTACATTCCTAGTGAAGCAACGCTGGATTGACGTCTCCGCTTCTGTCATGGCTGATAGCAGCGTCATTATCGCCTCTTCCATGACTTCGTTACTGGGAATTGATCCGTCCGTGAGTCGGCTCAATAGCCCCCGACTCTGGAAAGGATCATTTGAGCCGGCTATCATTATCACTTGCGAAGCCATACTGACAACTCTCTGCACGCTTATTGTCAATCCTACTGATTGTCCCCAGTCCAACTTGGGCGCTGTAAGGAAGATCACGTCTGGCCATAACAATGAACGGGGCATGTACACAAAGTCCGAACTGGCCACCATCAAATAAGTCGCATTCTTGATGTCCAGGGGGTCATAGGCAGCAAGCATGCCATCACCTTTTGGTGTATCCAGCCTTTTGTACCTCCTATCGTCCCCTTCCGTCGAGATCGCCTGGGGGAGTATCTTAAAAACTCACTAGGCGCTTGGCCTGGTGGTTTAAAGAATTGTCGGTACATTTTGTGGCGTTTGTTGTTGGGTTTGTGCTCTACCACGAACTTGCCTTTTCGGAAAGGTCCACGAATCTAAGTGTGGTAGCAGAGTTGAGTTGCTCCTGCCCGATCGACGCCCGATATCCCATACAATCCTGATACCGTGGGGCCATTTCCATTCTTGATTCTCCTGGCATCGGAACGGCTCGCAAGCTTATTCATGTTCAGTTTTGCCAACATGACAGCTATGTACTACAAAATACATAAACCTAAAAATAATTTCAAAAAAGTGAGAAAATTGAGAAAAAAACATCGGACTTGTGTTGGAGAACAAATTATCTGCAAAAACTGAATATCCAAAAAATCATTTTGCTTTTAATAATTTTAAAGTAAAATTCATAAGCTTCAAAATTAATCATTTTGTTTGTAAAAAATCTTTTTTAACTGTAAATACTTTGACTTTTAGTTGTACATACCTAATGATGCTACTAGTAGTGAAAAATTACCTATTTATATTAAATATTTATTGACTTATAACCATTTTAGACAAACCTTGAAGTCAATAACGAATACCAATGCCGACCTAAAGGCAGAACAAGAATGATTCTTAGACATTCAAGATTTTCAGAACAAAATGTAATGCATTAAATCTATGCATTAAACAAGCTTACTTATCAAACTAAGAAAAAAAATTTACCCAGCACTATTGCGATACCTGGACTACAATTAAACTTCTACGCAAAAAACCAGCCGAATAACGTCAAATAGTTGATAGAATCGAGCAGAACTTTGAACGACAGAAAAGATTAATAATTTGACATGGCACTCTCCAAAACCGGCATATTGAAACATCGATCTAATTACCGGGCTTGCAACCTGGACAAACTTTGCAGCTATTTTAAAGAAAATTGTTGATGAAAGTACATATCTTTTTACTCAGAAAATTGATAAAAATTGGCTGCCATCGATACTTTTCATTTTACGTCAAAAACTCAGCACAATCATTGTAAGAAACAAAAACAAAATGAATGCTAAATCACTAATAAGTCAATATTCCAGGGAAATCTTCTACGAAAACCTGACGCTGCAATAAAAACGTTAGATGATTTTAATTTGCCAGTTTTGTTGAAGAGTTTTTCTCGTACGGCCAAAAACATCCGATTAAGGATAATTTTACAGAAAAAATTACTAGTGGAGGCCTGGGAGCTCTTTCGATCCTGGTCATTGGGTCATCTAAGCCGGCTCTCAAATGGCTACATTCGAGGAGGGGGAGCGGTCCCCAGCCTTTCCCTTACGTCTTAGCTGGGAGCAGTAGGAGTGACATGACTCGCTTCCGATGCCAATGGCCGAAGACGACTGGCCGAGCCAGAGAGTCGGTCGTCCTCAGTTGCTCTTCTAACTCTTCAATCTTCGTTGAAACGTGTCGTTGATCCACCACCTTCCCAGCAGAGTGTTACAGTGTATTCCATCTCTGGTGAGCGCGAGTTGGTCAGTCATGCGCAACGCGTTCTCTAGATCCATGAGTCGCAACTTGCCTGGATTTTTTCTGACCAGTTTACGGATCATTTCATTCCATCGGACCACGTTGCCGGTGCAAAAAACGACCAATGGCGTGCCAACCTCAGGGTTCTGTGGGTCCGTACACAATATCACGAGCCTCGGTTTGTATTTTCCTTTAATTCTTTCAAAAGGCAGACCAACAGAGGTTCCCAGATATTCTCTGGGGTAACCGGAGCCCTAGAGATGTCGTTAGTGTGTCTAATTGATCTTCATTCTGGATTTCAATCATTTTGATCACCTGGCCCACGGAGATTCGCCATAGGAAACAGCAGTGCTCTGATCGCTGAAAAAGATCTCAATCAGATCCCTCACCAAACTGTCCCTTATGATCAAATGACGACTCCTGGAAGGAACCGCTTAGAGGGTGGCGGCAGAGTTCCAGCTAATGCCATTAAGGCAGGCTCGGGGGTAGTCTGCAGCCACTTGCACAGGGAAACTTCGAACTGCAAGGTTCTTCCACAACACGCGACCGACCTCGGGGTGGTCTCGCTGCGTGTTGGACCCGCTGGCACAATCGTATGCGGCAATCGCTCCGAGTTGCTTGAGGGGCGATCAATACGTTGGGAGGGACGACCCTATCCAACGTCTGTCCGCTGGTTTGGTTGATCTCATTCATTGTCACTCTGGCTACCCGCTCAAACGTTTCATGGAATTGTGGAGCCATTTACGTGTCTGTAGGGTCAGGTATGGTGTTTCTGGATTTTGCCGCAGGCTGGGATGCCTGCGGAGGGGCCATAGGCTCCATAGGGACCCACAGCTCCTCTGCCCTTGTCCTGGACAGCGTGGTTCATCGTCGTCAGGACTTCTGGTGACATCTGACCCAACTTTGTCAAGTATAGGTCCCTCGGGTGATTGATTTCTTCTTCTTTGAGAGTTATTGCAAAATCATCGTGCTTCTTCTTCCACTCGTCTCGTTTCCGGGCTATTGCCTCATACTCTTCTAATTTAGCGTATAACTCCTGCCTATGTTTCTCTTTTTTGTCCAGGGTTTCGATTGTTTCCGCAGTCTGGATTTCAGTCTCGTTCACCTTGACCTTCTTAGATGGAGGAGCAGCTGTTAGAGAATCTGCCGAGTCTGAAGGGCCTAGCCCAGCACGTGATCTCTTTGCTCCAAGAAAAGGCTGCGAGAAGGAGTTCGGGCGGACAGGAAGGGGCATCTCCCTTAACCTATGGTCACTCTGCTCACCCAATCTGCTGACCAGACATCATCCCTCGTCGCCATCCCTCGTCGTTCAGTATCTTCAGTTTCGAGTATCAATGAACAAAAATCTAATCAACCACGATCTAGAAAACAAATCACGTCTTAGAACCACCATACAAGCTATTTCATCTCCATGATAAAACATCATTCACATTTTTGCAAAGCAGTCAATTGAATGTTTTTTTTAATCTAAATTTTACCCCCGAGACGGATCGCTTACCTCCATTTCGTGCACTTTAAAAGGATTGTCACCTTTCGCATCTGGAATAGTCCAGGTCACAATAAAATAACCATCACCTAACCACAGCCATACACTACAACAAAGAAAAAGTATCACACGGCAACACTGCTATATAAAAAACCTATTATTCAATACCTATCCTGAAGCCTAAGTCCAAATATTTAATAAGTAAACCTAGTAGGAAACTCTTAACCCTAATAAAATAAACCTTTTACTGCTCACTGGGATGTAGTTTTCACTTATTGGGATCATAAACCGGTAAAGAGAGCGAGGTCACTCCCCTCTCGACCGGTAAATCCTTGAGTCGAATGAGTGCCAGCACTAAGCTTTCGAAAATCACGTGTTGCCTATCGGTGGCCTTGGTTACCAAAAAATCACAAGTTTTTTTCCCGGGTTTTGAGACGCAACAGGGGCAGCGCTATCATCCCTCCTACACCAGGCCTCTGCTTCCACAAAAACTTGATGTTCTTATACTCTCTTTTAATTTCGGCCGCTAGTGCTGTTTTAAAATTTAAATCCGCAGTTATCGCTATAGCACATGTGCGTTCCGTGAGTATAAAATCACTATTTGCAACAATGTTGTTAAAGTAGTGATTTGGTAGGTCAAAAAAAGACTTGAAAACTCGTCCGAAAGGCCGTTTTTTAGGACTTTTGCCCTCCGTTTCCATTTCTCCTGTCTCTCTTGTCAATTTTAATTTTTTGACTTTAAGACTTTCGGTGGGGGTGAGTCCTACTACTACTCCCCGGACAAAAACATCCGTCGACATCCCCGTCAATCGCCCAGGATCGAGCAGATCGAGGTTGGATTCGGGAAAGGGCCGTCTGGTGCGCTCCAGTTGGACTCAGTGTTGTCGTGACTGATGTATTTGGTTCTGGACTGATCGATATCCTGAATCCTCAGGACTGTCGCTCTCGGATCTGCAGGTAGATCAAGGAGCCATTCGAGCGTTTGCAAATTCGTCAATTCTCGCTCATGCATTTGTTCCACCTCACTTATGTTTCAAAATTGTCGACCAGGTCGACGCCCTGCGAGACCATGATCTCATCCAGACCCGTCCTCATATCGTCTAGTGCACGACAAAATCCTCGCCCTACGGTTTGTATAACTTCTTGTATTTACCCCTCTTACTCTGTCGCCCCTTCATGGTCAAGGGAAAGTCAGGTTCTCCTCTTTTGTCAGCTTCAATCTGCCCTGGGTCAATCCAGTACTCCTCGGCATAAGGTAGGGTTTTGTCATCGACCTCTATTCGCTCAGTTAACTCTATTTTCAATAGCAAGCCGCAATCATTCGCCACCTCATTCCCGTCATTCTTGTCGCGTGTGCGCCTCTCATTCACTTCACAAGCGGTATCCACTATCAAGTAGTCATCCTCATACATGTCAGCCGGGATGAACCAGTCTTTCGATGAGGCATTGTGCGGTTTAATTGCCACGTAATGAACAGCACGTCCAATGCTAAATTGATAAAAGCGACCACCTTGGTGCACTTCAGTTATTTGAAATGCACAACGCCATTTCTTCAGCAATTTTTGGTTTCCTTTGGGCGAACCAACTACTGGAAAATCCAGACATAGTCTCAACGCCGATTATGCTTTGAAGTCAGTGATCTTTTTAATCGAATTTTCTCTTCTGCCTCATTTGGGCCTGCTGCGTATCTGTCGGCACAAATCTTTCAATTTATGTTGCCCTTTGATCACGTCACGTACGTATGTTAGCGGTGTCGTTTCCTTCCCTCGTCTTCAGGACGAAAGAACGCTAACGGGAGAGATTTTTCATGGCCTTTCAGCATAACGTGTGGGCTGATTCCCGTAGTTGAATTTTCAGTACTAATGTAGGCGCCCATTACCTGCGGCCAGTGATTATACCAGTCGTTCATGTATCCTGAGCCATAAACCCTTGACATTGAGACTAGTGTGCGGTTTTGCCCCGTCCAGACCAATCGTCTGCGGATGATAAATGGTCGCAAGGGCCTGCGCCACTTGCGACCTTTTTATCAACTCCTTCGTAGGCTTGCCGACAAAGGCTTTGCCATTGTCGGAATGAAACGTGATCGGGCATCCGTGTCTAGCGATCCAGAAATTTATCACATGTGCACAGGTTTCCTCTGCTTGTGCCGTCATACAGGGTACTAGTAATCATTTTGTGAAATGATCGATCATTACCAGCAGTTGCTTATAGCCCGTGGCCGCCATGCAGATTTTCCGATGATTGATTTGCACCACTTCATTGAATCCCGACGGTTCTATCGACCACAGGAGAAATCTCAGCGTCCAGGCGTCCCTCGCTTGTTGACATGACAGACACACATAAAACCGTTTTTCACCGGCCTTCTTCAAGCCAGGCCATTCAAACCGTTTGTATCCAATTATACTTTTTGTCCACGCCACGATGACTCATCTGGTCGAGTGAGCGAAACAATAATTCAGTCTGATACAGCTGTGGTATGATAATTGATTTGTTTTTCTGATGTCACGTTTGCCGCCATGGCCTAAGCATACGCCCTTCATCGCCGTTTAGAGTCTTCTCGCTTCTTAATTTCCTTCAGCTCACTAAAAGGTCACCGCGACCTTCACTCGTTGTCTCGCTAACAAAGGCGTCGGAGGGACTGCCAACCGAAGATTGGCTGCGCCGAGAATTCAGACTCCAAGTGCTTGCCGTGCCAAACCTGGAAATTTTAATCACTTCTAAGAGTCTTATTGCTCCATATTTTGTGATAAGTGAGGCTACAAGAAAAAAGTTTGACGACAATGCACAAATTCCGAAAACAATAATATAAACTTTTGCGTGTCTATAATCAATACTTTCCAAAGTAAACAAATTATTAGGCCCTTACAAACTCTATGAACGACTCAGCTAAGAACAATTGCTGGTATTGCCCAGAGATGAGTTATTTTTAATTCCGCTTAAATACTTTGTTTAAAGTTGTATACCAAAAATCTGCAAGATACAAAAATCAACAGAGAAAACACTACTAACAATATAATAGCAACATTCCCTATAAGTGCCAGCGATCTCTCGCATCAGTATCTATATATCGATGTAGGTTTATCCAGTCACTGCCTCGTTAAAATTAAGCAATTTTTTGTAAAATACCAGTGAAGGCTTCAATAATGATCAAATAAAACCTAATCTTAAAGTAAAAGACGTCCCTCAATTGGAGTACGCCAACTGAACGATTCGAGGATACTGCCTTCTCAAGCGAATGTGTCTAATCAAATACACGCAACGAGGCACTCTTCTATGTGTCCTGCAATTGCCCAAGCTATCTTTTTAAGTAGCTCAAAGGCAACCTCTGAACGAAGTATTCAGGATCTAAGCAAAAGCTCTCCCACACTCGGGCAGTTTGAAGTGCACGAGAGTAGGGAACAATTCTTCTCTTCTCAACTGAATGTGTCAAAGCTAATACACTCACCGAGATCTTCTTCCATATGTGTACCGGATTGCCCGAGCCTTCCTACTAAGTGGCTCAAGGTAACCACACAACCAATATAATCATTGAGAAAAAAATTGGTCCGGGTACTTTTGACAAACTTGATCTAGAATCCAAAGTTGATCCAGGTCAACTGGTTTATTTACTGCTACACACACCCCATAGATAAGTGACCTTCTATTTCAATTTTAGTACTTAAGGTATCAAAATTGCCTCGGAGGGTCACTCTGAACTTCAGAAAAGAGGGCTGTTAAGGAGCTTAACTGTCATACAGGGTACTAGTAATCATTTTGTGAAATGAGCGATCATTACCAGCAGTTTTTTATAGCCCGTGGCTGCCATGCAGATTTTCCGATGATCGATTTGCACCACTTCATTGAATCCCGACGGTTCTATCAACCGCAGAAGAAATCTCAGCGTCCAGGCGTCCCTCGCTTGTTGACAAGACAGACACACAGATAACCATTTTTCACCAGCCTTCTTCAAGACAGGCCATTCAAACCGCTTGTATCCAATTATCCTTTTTGTCCACGCCACGATGATTCATCTGGTCGAGTGAGCGAAACAATAATTCAGTCTGATACAGCTATGGTATGATTATTGATTTGTTTTTATGATGTCACGTTCGCCGCTATGGCCTAAGCATTTGCCCCTCATCACCGTTTAGAACCTTCTCGCTTCTTAATTTCCTTCAGCTCACTAAAAGTTCACCGCGACCTTCACTCGTTGCCTCGCTAACACAGGCGTCGGATGGACTGCCAACCGAAGATTGGCTGCGCCGAGACTTAAGACTCCGAGTGCTTCCCGTGCCAAACCTGGAAATTTTAATCACTTCTAAGAGTCTTATTGCTCCATACTTTGTGTTAAGTGAGGCTACGGGATAAAAGTTTTACGACAATGCACAAATTCCAAAAACAAAAATATAAACTTTTGCGTGTCTATAATCAATACTTTCCAAAGTAAACAAATAATTGGGCCCTTAAAAACTCTAGGAACGACTCAGATAAGAACAATTGCTGGTATTGCCCTGAGTTGAGTTATTATTAGTTCCGCTTAAATACTTAGTTTAAAATTGTATACCAAAAATCTGCAGGACACAAAAACCAACCGAGAAAACACTACTAACCATAAGATAGCAACATTCCCTATAGATGCCAGCCATCTCTCGCATCAGTATCTACTTATCAATGTAGATTGATCCAGTCACTGTCTCGTTAAAATTAAGCAATTTTTCGTAAAATAGCAGTGAAGGCTTCAATGATGATCAAAAAAACCTAATCGTAAAGTAAAAGACTTCCCTCAATTGGAGTACGCCAACTGAACGAGTCGAGGATACTGCCGTCCCAAGCGAATGTGTCTAATCGAATACACGCAACGAGGTACTCTTCTATGTGTCCTGCAATTGCCCAATCTATCTTTTTAAGTAGCTCAAAGGCAACCTCTGATCGAAGTAATCAGGATCTAAGCAAAAGCTCTCCCACACTCGGGCAGTTTGAAGTGCACGAGAGTAGGGAACAATTCTTCTCTTCTCAACTGAATGTGTCAAACCTAATACACTCACCGAGATCTTCTTCCATATGTGTACCGGATTGCCCGAGCCTTCATACTAAGTGGCTCAAGGTAACCACACCACCAATATAATCATCGAGAAAAAAATTGGTCCGGGTACTTTTGACAAACTTGATCTAGATTCCAAAGTTGATCCAGGTCAACTGGTTTATTTACTGCTACACACACCC